AAGGGCAAACAAAAGAGGAGAAATAGTAAGGCCAGTTATTCCTGAGATTAAAAAAAAAAAAAAAAAAAAAAAAAAAAAAAACAAGGTGTTGCAAGCAGGAGCTGGGCACACCTTGCGTCTGATTCATTCATCAAAAACCCCGCACAGCAGGTGGAGGATATGTAGGGTTAGATTTGGCACACCCACCACGAGGTTCTCCCCTCTAAATCCTCCCCAATAACCAACATACATGGAACAATACTTCACCGCGACTCCTAATCTGCGTCTCAGATCTTAATTTATTCAGCTTCTAGATGGATCTGTCGCGAACTGGTAGAACAGGATAGGAGCGCACGGACGATAATCAGCTCTGCCTTACCTTGCCCAGAAGCTTCCCTTTGCTGTAGGACCTTCCCGTCTTGGGGTCCGTCACCACCTGAGCCAGCTCGGGTTTGCCGTGCTCGGGTTTATTCCTGCTGTTCTTCGTCGCGGCGGAGGACTGGTGGTGTCCGCGCTCCGGGACAGGCTTGAATAAATCCGCGTTCATGTTGTGGCACGAAATACGCTGCGCCGCGTTAAAACAACCGGAATCCATTTAAACGTTCTCGATGAAATGCTGTATCCAAATCCTTCCTCCTGCGTTTTTCTCAGAAAGAATTATGATGCTGTGTGCTAATTCCCTCCGCTCCGACTGTCTCCATCTGGCGTGTCTGGACGCAGATCTGCGAGGCTTTATAAGTCGGCCGTGACGTCACGGAAGACGGGCTGGGGAGGAGGGAAAGAGGAGGAGAAAGTTGATTTGCTCAGCTTGTCTCACTGAAATATGGATGCATGAGGTATATATGAATGAAACAATACATACAACAATAATCCACAACAGTTTACAAGATTAGGTCTAAATTCAGATTTTAATCGTCATTTCAGCTTTTTTTTTTGTTGTTTTTTTTTTTGTTTAATCTGATTTTTACTTACTTATTTTCTTATAATCAAATGTTAATTGATACATACGTTTATGGACACATCGTCAACACGTCAGCAAGTTTGTGTAATGCAATGAAAGAAGCTGAAAGAGCTGCTACTATTCCCAACCCTGTAAAAAACAGCAGCATGGTGTAAACCGCTTCATAAAAAGCCCAGAATTCCCCCGAGTCAAAATCCGACGATTTCTACAGAAGGCTGCCACCTGCTGGAGAAAGCGTGGAAAAAAGGAAATATTCTCTATTCATAAATGCAAAGGTTTGGAAATAAAGCAAATACAGTATAAATGCCCAAGAAACGACGCACCCCTTTATGTAGCATAATAGGGAAATGTAAGCAAAAAAAACAAACAAAAAAAAAAAACAGATGAACACGGAAGAGGGTTCAAGTGTTATATTTGTTGAATGTTATGACAGAAAAACAAACAAACAAAAAAACAGTACAGCAAAGTCCAAAGAGCGAAACTAAAATGTACAATTGTATATTTTGGAAAAGTGAGCACAATTAAAAACAGTCCAACTCTACACTTTTAATAGAAACTATCCAAAAAGAACAAAATGGAATGAGGAAAGACAAATTGTTTTTATTTCAGTTGCAGGAGAGATGAACATAACATTCTAACAAGCAGAATTATGATTTTAGGGATACGACTTCCTCCATGGATGGCTTTATATATAGGAAAACTGAGGTGTGACTTTGGCACGTTACAAGCCTGTCATCCTCTGAAGAAATGGACACAGACTACACTACCCACAATTTACTGTGGGTGTTGGAAAATCTTAAACAAGCAATAATGACCGATCACTGAATGAAGGGCGCCATCTGCTGGACGTAGCGTTTCTTTACAATACACTGATATTTATTTATTAGAGCTCATGACTGGCCTAAAAAAAATCATACAGAAAATCAGTTTCAGTTTATTGAAGGACTGTATGAAACTCTAAAATGACATGAGCTCTACTTTTTAATTTTTAGGTCATGCACTCTTGAACTTTAAAGCTCTAATTTGGTCACACTCCAAAAAAAAAAAAAAAAAAGAGGAATATTTAGAAGTCCATCATATCGTCCCCTCTTTTCTTCTTGTCTTGCGACTCTGTCCAGGCTTTGTTGATAGTTCTCTTCATCTCATCGTCTCCATCGTCATAAATCTTCTTCAACATGCTCATGAGGCCATCGCTGGGGTCTGCGTTCTCATCCATAGAGGGTTTGCTGTTGAGAAAGAGCAGGAAAATATTGTAATTTCTATTGTATGACATATGCGTGGTTCTCTCAGCTGCTCACATCATTGTTGAAGATGAGTGTAGGTAATGGCAGAGAGGAGACACAGATATATTTGGTAATTTATCTAAATGTGTACAAAGTAAAACTTTGATGTGAAATTCTACAATTGTAGAATTGCCAAAGAGAAGTCTTCATTTACCATATTTCTCCACATTTCGTCAAACACAAACGCCAATACTGGGGTTTTATGCGATAGACCAACACGAAAGTCAAGCATAACAGTGGAGCAGAAGTAATAAGGGCATCTAAAAATCTGAAAAGGTATCCCGTTGTATTCAGCATGAGTCAATGGACATCTTCAAGTCTTTCAGGTTGCGTCTCTCCCAACTTTGCAAATGGCTTGAATAGTTAAAAAAAATTGTTGTTTTAACTATATTCATAATGCATTGCAGTATCTCACAAGCTACTATAATTCATTACAACCTAGTTTTCTGCCTAAACAACAAAAAAAATCCTTAGCTTAAAGTCTACCGATACATTTTGAACTTACTCCTTCTCTTTTGACTGTTTCTCCACTGCTGTAAGGCACTCCCACTTCTTTGTTGTCTGCTTTTTTAGCATGATCAACAACATGTCTGTTTTTACCTGAAAGAAACAAAATGAAGCTTCACGTTATGCAAAAATCTCCAAATATAAAAATATGGTGTAAAAACAAAAGTTGTTTTAAGTAGCCCTGTTCAATTGAAATGCTATACAACAATACAGGAGTTTTCAGCACAAACTAGCTGTTTAATTTGTAGTATGCTGGATAATTGAAGGTACACCAGAGATAAATCGGCATGCCGATTTATCTCTGGTGTACCAGAGATAAGGATAAATTGCTCAAAAAAAAAAACCAAACAAAAAAAAATACCTGGATGGGAAAATATGCATATCTTTGCATTTCTAGTTTTACTGACCTTTTTGTAGCTGTCCTTTTCATCGATCGGATGCAACAGGTTAAGAACAGTCATCTGATGATTTTTGCCATTTAGGTCTTTAATTAGCACCGAAAATGACCTGCAAGAGAAACAATAAGAAATTGTAACGATATAATTTGTCACATGAGGAATAAACAGAGCCGGTAATATTTGTTGATTTTTCGCGTTACCTTTCTGTGAAGTCCACTTCTACATTTTCTGCTGAAATTTTGTGCACATCTTTCAAATCCAGGTAAATTTTCACAAACTTCTCCGACTGATCCCATGCTGCAGGGAAGTTGAGTGAAGCGTCACAGTTATAGAAAAACTAAGCAGTTCTTTCAAAAAGAATCTTCTCAAGTTCTTGAATGCAGTTTAACTGATAATAAATCCATTTTAAACAGACATACCGTAGCTGGTGATCTTCACGGTGTATGCTGCTTTGGACACTGCAGATGGGTCTGCCTCTCTCTTAGCCTGCTGCAGCTGCTGCTGTCGTTTGGTTGCAAGTTCTTTCTCCACCTTCTTCTGTTCCTCCTGCAAGACGTCCTGTACCCTTTTCCTCTCTGATTTCTCCAAGAGGGAGCTCAACTCCTGCAGGTCAGCTTCTAGCTGAGTGATCTGTGTTGGACAAAAACAATGGGAGTTTTATATTCCATATAGAGCAGAGCCATTTTACAATTAAGTCTGGATTGTTGAGAGAACATAAATAACAGAGGGTTATATTATTTAATAATCTAGTATAGGTAATAACTTTTAAGCCATTCATCAAAGGACAAGGATAAAAAAAAGATATTAAAAGTCAGCTAGAAATCAATTCTAATCTAATAGAGCCCACCTACAAACTCAGTTGTAAGCATACTTTCACCAACTTCAAGTGTTATTTTGTATACAGTAAAATAACTTGCCTAAAATGCCAATATCTTAAAATTTTAGGTGTTAAAGAATATCTATCCTGATTGGCCAAAAAGCTTTTGGACTTTCAAACACTTCCAGTGGCTTAAATGAAAAACATTGCCATACAATTTGAAATTTATTTAAAATGCCGACAGATGTATATTGAACCCAGAATAATTAATTTAGCAAGCAGATGACACCAGGTAAATAAACAACCAAATCTTATAAATAAATATAGACTAGAGGAATCTGCTCCCTTCTTTTCTTGTAGTAGTAAGAAGTGACTAAATACACGATCCTTGTCACTAAACCCATTACAGGCAGTATTTTTAGGAATATTTATTAAATCATGTGACTTCATTTCGTTGCTATGGCAGTTAGAAGCTGTAGGCCACGAGACTGCGCATTGGCGTCTCCTGCTAGCTAAGTTGCTAGAATGTTCTGGCAAACTCCATTCAAAGCTAAAAGCTAGGTTAGCATCACAGATAAAAACGCACACTGCCACAACGCACACCGAATACTAAAATCATACGTAGGAAATACATCAGGATGAATCATAAGGCAGAGATAACTCGAGTTTTAAGAAAGAAACAGTAAATATCAGAGTTTTGCGTTGTCTGTGTACTTGTCAAAGTTAACTAATATAATATGAAATGCTGTCACGGAAGTAAAATAAATTCAGTTATGTATATTTGAACCATTATATTTCTGTCAGAATGCTAAAGCCTAAACTGAGGCTTACCTGCTCTTTTATATCCATTATGATCTTGTACTTCTGAGATGTAACCAAATGTTAGCCGGTTTGCTGAAGCTCTGCTACTACAGTGGTTCCTTTGCCAGCCCGGCCCAGGAAATGACGTCCTCTACTTCTGCTGTTCGCTCATGAGGGTCAAATGTTTGACACCGCCACCCATTGGCCTGAATGACTATTGATACCCTTATCATAACTAGTACCAATTATAATAAATAATTTTTGAATAAAGTATAAAATGTTTTTGAATGCCTTAAAAAGCGCATCATAGCTAGATGTAAAATTACTTCTAATATTAATAATGATAATTATTATTATTAAGTGATGTAAAAAAATGCAACTTAAGTGCAATTTTGATGCGGACATATACTGTATAACCTGCTTGGTTACACATTTTTATTCTGAAATTCCATACTTTTCTAAAGTGATATTTCCAGATTTCTAAGTACTTTGTGTTAATAGTAAAATATAAAATAAAAAAGTTCAATATGATTTATATTTTGACAGAGGTCTGAGATTAAGCAAAAATGCAAAACAGAGAAAGAAATGATGGAAGAAAAGACAGCTAAAGGAGAAAACAAGGAAAGAAAGATAGGAAGAATGAACACAAGGAAGCAATAAAATACATGTAAACAAAAGAAAACAGGGAAGGACAGAAGAGATGAAAGAAAAAAAAGATATTCAGCCACATGGCACCTTATATTTATCGAAACCTTATTTAAAATGAATTGAAGCCATATTTAATCATTGCTTAGCTTTTAATGCATTTCTGACATTAAAAGGAGACGCATCTTACAATAGTAGGACAGTGTCTTGTTTTTCATAAGACTGATATGCTTTGTGTATATCTTAATAAAACAGCCTATGAGCAACATAATTTCCAGCAAGATTTTATCATCTCTTTAATGTGTACAATGAAACAAACATTTTTTTTTTCTTTTTTTGATTTTAGTTTACTTAAGAGGGGAAAACAAATGCAGATTATTGTACAGCAAACAGCACATATCCACAAGTTTGAAGCGCTGATGTCCTCCCTCCTGTCAAACAGCCGGGTTTTTAATGACACAATCTGTGTAAAACAAGTCCAACATGGGCACAGTCACCACCTTGCCCTCAAGATTCCAGACATCTGGTTGTGGTCAGCTAGATGCCGAAAGACAATACGACTTAGTCTCCATCTTCTCTTCACTCCCCGAGGTCGGGAGGTCAACACACACCTGTTGCGTATCCTCACAGGGCAGCTGTCTCTGGGTAGTGCTGCGATCTCCTTGTCTGCTATTTCCTGCAAACAAATTAAAATCAAGTTTCCAAAATCAGTTCTTAATAACTGGAAACCCTCATAATATTTACTTTTCCCCCTTTTGGAAGACATAAATCCACACAAATAATACAGCTAACTAATTTTCTACAAATAACTAAGGTATGGCAAATTTATTTGTGTAGTGCATTTCAGCTCCAGGTGACTTAAATGATAAAATCATGAAACAAGAACTGGAAATTACATGATCTCAAATGCTATCATCATCAAATGCTGGAATAAACACTTTAAACAAAGTTTCAGCTATTAATCAAGGGCAACTCTAAATAACTGGGTCTCTGGCCTTAATTTAAAGGAAATCAGTGTTTTAGCATTTTTTTTTTTAATTTTCAGGAAGCTTGTTCCTGGAATCTGTGAAAGTAGTGCATAAAAACTGAATGCTGCTTCTCCATCAACATTCAGTTGATGTTGATCTGACTTGGGGAATGCACAGTAGATTTAAACTAAAAGACCTGAATGGTCTGGAAGGTTGATACAAAGACAACACAGACTTTAGAACTGGTGCGAAGTGCTATTTTTAGAGAAACAGTAAGCAGTAGCGTTCTGGGTCAGCTGCAGATGTCTGATCAATTCCAATAAGGAACATATTGGTACAAATACTGAACTCTACCTGGAGTTCTTTAGGCAAGATGGTGTTCTTCCGCAGTGCATTGATACGTGTCCTCTCATCAGCCAGCTCAAAGGCCATTTGTCTTCTCTTGACATCCCTCAGCATCCTCCAGTCAACGTAGTAACTTCTCAGCTGGTCCACTGCTCCCCAGCAGCTCCGCAGCGCCTGTCCATCATTAACATGCAGTTACTCCCAGCCGTGCAAGTAACAGCTCAGGTTTTTCCCAAATTATATCAGACGAACACACTCCACAAGAAAGGTAAGCCACAAAACGTCAGAGCTAAAGAGCCATGGAAAGTTGAAAAGAATGGTAAATTTATATCAAGCTTTTCCAGTCACACTAGCCACTCCAAGCCACATTCACACTTCTTTTTTACTCCACCGCAACACAGAAAGGTGAGTTTCAGTGCAGTAAGCAACATCGAAACAGTTTCTATGAAAACTAGCGTTGCCATCCAAGCTAGCGTTACAAAACCAGTCATAAAATTAACATTTTCACTGTTACGTTTTCAGTTTTCCTGACTTGGAACCGAGGGCTTCCTTCATAATACGCATGGCACAACATGTGTGTTGAAATTAGGTAAGTTACCTGTTTCGGTGCGTAAACGGTGGAATAAAGGGCGTTTAGACCCATACATGCTATTCTGTTAGCCGCCATGATGGATCCAGGGTGAACTACCAAAGCAGATAGAAGATATTGCCCCCTCTGGCTAGGAGGGTAACATAATCATTTAATTCTTCTGTTTCAAAATTTAAACCCCGAAATTAGTGTTTCGGACTTTAACGTTATTTATACATGGAGTACTCACTGCAATGCGGAAGTTACTGCTGTTTTAGGCTTTATCTCTTGTCAATAGAGATGCACAGTTTTCTTTGCTGTGTCTAAAATTGAATCACACATCATGATGATTAAATTGGATATATATCAACACTACTGTGAAGCCTGTGAGTAACCCCGAACCTAATCCGTTGAAAATAATTAAATTCATCTGAAAAGAATTACAAATTATTGTGGTACTACTTAGAAACCACTAGGTGGCAATGTAGTTCCATAATATACAGTACGGCATCAAAGACATTCCCGTCAGCCATGAGGAGCAGAGTCCTTACATCCATCCATCCATCCATTTTCTGAACACCCTTGTCCCTCAGTGGGGTCGGGAGGGGTGCTGGTGCCTATCTCCAGCTAACGTTCCGGGCGAGAGGCGGGGTACACCCTGGACAGGTCGCCAGTCTGTCGCAGAGAGTCCTTACATTTTATACTGAATCAAGAACATTACATCTGATTAAAATTGTATTTTGAGTACTTTCAAGTGCAGATCCACCCAGATCATGCAGAATAAGCGAACACGCTTTTGTAAGGTAATATTCGGACATTTTTTTAAATTTTTTTTTTAATCAAGTTCAGAAGGATAATGTCTTTTTATATTTTATAGAGAGAAGAAGAAACAAAATGATAGATTCAGTTAAGCATACCTCGTTATTTTGGACCCTGGAGGGAGCTCGTTCTTGGATAAATACTAACACATGGCAAAGCGGATGCAGCCCTTATAGATCTCTCTCTCTCTCCCTCTCTATAGATTACCGTTTTTACAAAAAAAAAATGGTTTTAATAGCTGGTATATTTCAAACAGCTGTATTTGTAACATGGTTTTCTTAATAGTAGCAGTGGGTAATGCACAGAAGTAGTGATTGTTAAAATCAGCGAAAGTCTTTTGTTGTAACAGCTTTTTTTATGTTAATATTATGGTAACAGAACCCAAGTCATTCTATCTTTGGCTTAAAGGTCAAAATGTTTTTGTTAAGTTTATTGAAATTTGGAGAAACAGATTTGTCATTTTACAGTGGTAGTGTGTCATAATTAAGCTGCTGTTTGGCTGTCAGAATGTTTTGGCCTTTAACTGAAACGCCTCTAAAGGCTTTTTCCAAGATCACCAAGAAGGTTAAAATAATCCCCGAGACATCTAAAACAGAAAAGGATGTGAGTGCTGACCTTCCAGGATTTCCAGTTCTGAACATTATGATAAATGTCAGACCCTTAAAACTTCTGGCAGCAGATATCAACCTCAGAGTTTATAGGTTAAAAATGATTCACTGCTGCCTTTTTCAGTCACTTCTTTTACAGCTTAATAGAAGCAAGAGGTTTTTATTATTTTTTTAGATGACACAAAATTAAAGCCCTACTTAGGTTGTGTGGAGTTTTAGAATACTAGCACTCTGGCTTTACTACTACTTGATTAACCATGTTGGCTAATTGCGTTAATTTGGTTTGTACGGCAGAGGAATTGGTGGAGTTTATGTTGCGTTTTCTGGGAAACAGATGTGCATTTACAGGCTTTACAAGAGATCTCAGGAGTTGAGAGACTGAACAACAAAGCCACGCAACGTTAAACTAGTGTACTTCAGAGGATAATGGACATTATTCAGAGAGACAACAGACAGGTGGCATCATCCATAAAACAGACAGGAGTCAAGTGAGCATGGTCAACCAATGACAATGCGACTGATGCTGAAACAACCGGGAATGCTGGATACATGTGAGAATGCAAAAAAAAACAAAACAAAAAAAACATTGAAAGAGTAAAGTAAATGCAAACGCAAAATGAACAAACTTCTTATACTTGCGTAGAAATTTCAAAACAAATCAATTATTAGTGTGAAAGTAAAACAGTTTATGTAATATTATGTATTGCACCCTCCAAAAGTTTTGTAAAAAGGATTAGTAGGAAGCACACCAAATGCTTAGGACTGAACGTTGTTTATTTTAAAGATGAAGACTTGCACTCTCATTTGCCAGAGTAAACCACCGAGTTCTCGGATGTCAGTCAACAATATTCTCTGTGACAGTGGTTTATTCATTCTTTCATCCCATCCCAAACATGCTGATTAAAGCAAATAAGGATCCCTTGGCTGATCAAACATCGGTCTGATTTACTCCATACCACACTGAGATGAAAATGTGATAGGAACAGATGTCTGTGTATTTTCTTTGTGGCTGCTATAAAAGCGTTTGAAGATGAGGGAAGCGGTTTAATTTGCTGCTGGCATCTCATAGCTTTCTTATCTTAATGCCTCACTGATGAAATGTAAGATAGATGGGGCAAACACACACGACTAAGCTATTAAATTCATGGTTACAAACGACTGTGTCTTCCCGCTTGGCATTTTAATGTCTGCTACTCAGCTTGTAAACAATAAACAAAATGTTCCTTGTGGGTGGGCATTCACACATTTGACCTTGACAAGTTTACACATGAACCTGTCACCATAAATCTTATATAGTCCTTACTAGCAGTGAAATATGTGAAAAATGAAGTGGATAAATCATATCTTAGATGCTTTCAGAATTATATGCCTCTTTTTTTTAAGTTCAAATATTTGACAAAAGTCACAATCAGCAATAAAAATAAAAATGTTTCTTCAATTTGCACAACATAAGAAAATATCTATTATTGTAATGGGGTGGAACTGAAATTTCTCGTCCCAGTTAATTCTGGCATTGTTTGTTAAGCATTGCTGGTATGAACAACCATATAAATCTTATCTTTGTTTACTAAATGAGGTAAAATTGTGTAAACCTGAACTTTAAATGCAGAGCATAATAATAATAAAAAAAAAAACAATAACGCACCACAATGACGCCAATTGGACTTTTAGACCTTTCCTGAGATAGATAAGATCAGCTTCACATGTAGGTGTCGCCCGATCACCGATCTCCCAAAATAGAGGAAATCGGTGCCAATAAATTGGCTGGCCGGTAAATCGGTGCACCCCTAATTAGCATGCATGTATCCAATGTGGAGAGGAGAGCTCTCGTAAGGTCAAGTTTATTTGTATTACACATTTTAGCAACAAGGCAGTTCAAAGTGCTTTACATCATAAAAACATCATACAGTCGCCAACTATGAAGCAATGAAGCAATCAATAAACATTATGGCATTTGTCTAATGCAGTCATCAAAATCATCAAGCAATTGCTCCTCAATGTTCCAACTAACCTAGCTCTAAACAAGTGGAGCCTAGCCCTTAATTTAAAGAATTTCAGTATTTCATCTGTTTTTGCACTTTTCTGGAAGATTGTTCCAGATTATGGAGCACAGAAACTCGATGCTGATCTTTCATGTTGTTTCCGTTTCTGGGGATGCAGAGTAGACGAGGACCAGAAGACCTGAGTGGTCTGGAAGGTTGATACAATAACAACATATCTTTAATGTGCTTTGGTGCTAAGCCATATAGGGACTTATAAACTAACAGAGGTATTTTCAAGTCAATTTATTCTCTGAGCTACTGAGCCATAATTGGAAGAAACCTCCAGCAGAGCTTGGCTCAGGTGAGTGGCTCAGTGTGGTGGATATACAGCATAAGACCTCTATTTTGTATAACATCCTTACTAGAGTCCACATTCCTACAGTCAATATAAAATTCTAGAATTTTACATATCTTGCCAAATTTGTGCTTTTCTGAAGTGTGCCCAATTTTTCATAAACATTTAAATTTTTGCTGAATTTTTTATCAATATGATAGAATCAGTAGTGTTCTTTTCTCTCTTATGGTTAGATACTAATTCTTTAACTGCATATGAGCTACATTTTTCATATTTTATCAACCTAAATCTGACACAGGGTGTACTTTCTTTTTTCCATGACTATTGGTACCTTCAAGTAGAGCTGCTCTGTCATCTTTGTCTTAGTATGTATTTAAAACTATGGGATTTATAAACACAATGAAAGACTAAAATGAGTGGGAGTTGTTGGAAGACCAGTTTAGTGGGTCATTATAATTTTATATGCGTCTGCAATATTAAGTACAATGAATTTGTTACTCTTTGCACTTTGGTGTATCAGAGGATTGTGGTCCAAGAAGTCAAAGAGTTATGGTTGGTGTGATCCCATCACACTATGTCTCCTAGTTATGAGCTTTATCACCCTCATATGTATGTCATAACCTGCTTGCATGCCATAAAGTGGAAAAGTCTGCCTCTAAACCCTGGGGGAATGCTTGGCATTCCTGAGTTATGGGAGAAAGGGCCCTTCATGTCAGCTAGGTCAAGGCCTCCTGCTAAATGAGCTGTGTCTGACCTGTAATTGCAAAGAGTGGAAGGATTTAACACACTGATGTGCCAGTGAATCCGTCACACCAACTGGACAGCAAATTCTGTGCACTGTGTTTTAGTGAGCTATTCCCAAAAATGTGTTTGTTTTCAATCTGGAGACATGACCTAATGCCATATCATAGCAAACACAGGAGCTTACCTCTGTTTTATTTGATTCGTGTGTTTGCATACAAGGTGCTAGCGGATTTAAAATACAGCCTTCGGTGCTGATTATACTGTTTCTCTTGTGTTTTCTAAAGCATGCATGCAAACTGTTAAAATATACTAAGTCCACAGCAAAACACTTCTACGGTCAAAAATTCAACCTGAGAGGCTGATCTTGTCAATGATTTATTAAAAGGACCTTTAAATGCTGGAACATCTGTTCAGTTTATGTTGGTTAGAAACAAAACAAAACAAAAAAAAAAAACGTTGCCAGATATATCCGGTTCAGCATAATGGGTTGGTTGAAGGCTTGAATGCTGTGGCTTCGTTTATGACATTTACGACATCTCAACGAGAGAGAGAGAGTTATTTATTTTACTCAGTCAGAGTCATACAGGAAATGTCTCACTAAAACATTTTTTTCCTTCTTACACCAGACA